GTTATTTGTTTTCCGTGCCTTTCTGAATACAGACACCCACCCATCTCTGCACATCACATCCCCTGCACAGCCTGGAACATAACATTTATTTCCATGATCTGCCATTTTCGCTATTATCCTCGCTTGTTTCTTCACAATACCTGCAGAACTTCTGATCATTTGGCTGTGCAGGTTCGGCTGGCGGCTGGCATAGAACATGGGCGGGTATATGCAAATATTGGGGGCGTAACTATTAGTGATCCCGACTGTAACATCACTGATTCGCCTATTTTTCAGTGTTTTTTTGCATGCATGAGATTTACATAAGGAGGAGGAAACAATGGTGTTTGAGGCTCACGGTATGTCATTTCTATGTACAGAACTGTTATTATTCAACTATGCCAAGGTAAATACAGTTTTCCATTCTATGGCACCTTTAAAATGTGATGATCTGATTTATTTCAAAATTTCATAGATAATGTATAAGCATAACAATTTACTTCCAAAATCTATTCAGAGGCTGTCTGAAATTAGAAAGAGTCAATAAACTTAGGGAAACGTAGGGTTTATTTATTTATTTACTTACTTATTATTTATTTATTTATTTCATATAAAGGTCTTAAGAAATTTTCTTAATGGGAAGGTTAAAAGATTTTCAACCAGCCTTAATTGTTACATTGTCACTAAAACAATGTGTATTATTTTTCCATGTTACCAAGATTAAACCTTTTTTTGTTAAAACTACAGATCGATCGTACACATTTTTGTATCCACGCTCATGGATCGGCTAACAGAGCCGAGTGCATTATGGTTGTTGAAGTTTTCCTACACCGTCGCCCTTTTTCTCTATCTATCTATCTATCTATTTTATTTTTATTTTTTATTTTTACCTAAGTGTTTGCTAAATCAGCTGGTGTTTAGCTGTTGTTTTGCTAAATCAGCTGGTTTTATCTGGTTTTAGATGTTTTTAGCTGTTTTATTTTTTATTTTTTGCTAAATCAGCTGGTTTTGGCTGAATTTTAACTGGTTCCTTTTGTTAAATCAGCTGGTTTTGTGCTAAATCACGCTAACAACATGCTTAGTGACCGTAATCCAACCAATCTAAGTACCCTAGTTACTTCACAGCAAAACCCTAGCAATCACCCCAAGTGCCCTAGCAACTGCATAGCAACACCTTAGCAACCACTCCGGGTTCCCTAACAATCACCTTAGTAACCACCCCAAGTACACTAGCAACAGCATAGCAACACCCTAGCAACCACCCGAATACCCTAGCAACTGCATAGCAACACCCTAGCAACTACCCAAAGTACCTTAGCAACCGAATAGCAACACCTTAGCCACCACCCTGATTATCCAAGCAACTGCAAAGCAACACTACCCTTACGAAAAAGAAGTTTATTCAAGTGTGCTATTAGTATACTTCTTTTAAACTAAAAATAGGAAAGTATACTTTTAGTCTACTTTTTATGTACTTCTCAGAAATGGGCTTTCTGTACTTCTCAGAAATATACTTAAAATGACATTTAAGTATACTTGACATACTTAGAAAAAGTCTAAATATATTTGAGCTATACTTGTGTTCCTAGAATCCGTGTTTTTATTGTTATACTGTAGGGGGCGCTAGTACACATCTTCTGTACAGAATTTCCAAAAAACACAAGTGAAGAAGAAACCGAAACAACAGATGCTCCCACATGTAATCTAGCACGATCATCAGACATAAAACAGCATCAAAACTATGTAACATTACAGAATAAAATGTCGACCAATGAAGAGGTAATACTGACTGTGAAGCTTTGGGGTGTTGATCGACTCTATCTACATTTTGATTATCATTCTGAATCCAATTCATAGTCTTTTTTCAGCTTTTTGTTCAAAATGTTGTTTATTTCTTTATTTTTTATTTATGAAACATATCCACATTCAAGTGTTAAAAAAGAATGCATGAAGATAGAATAAAATGTTTTTGTTTACAAGCAGATACCCTGTTCTTTCTTTTGATGTTTTGTATGTTCAGATATTCATATAACAAAATATACAAATTAATACCTAAATAGGGACATAGTAGTATACTTAGATAAAACGTACGAGTATACTTGTAGTATAAAACTACTAAACTAGTTTACTGAGACTATACTTCAAAGTGTACTAAAAATGCTACTACAAGTATTTAATTAGTAAACTATCAATATACCTATAAGTTCACTTTTAGTATAGTTGCAGTACAAACTAAACATTTTGATGTAAACTAGTTGTGTACTCAAAGTTTACTACTGTTATACTTAAAAGTGTACTTTTATATACTAGAACGTGGGCCAATTTAGTCCCAAGGAGTATTGAAATAGTACACTTACAAGTATACTACTAGTACACTGATATTTGTATACTTACTACATAAAGTTTACTTAAAAATATACTTGAACTTTACTTAAGTATACTTACTAAAATAAACTTGAAGTATACTACTTTTTGGTCAGGGTATAGCAAAATCCTAGTAACCATCTATCTCTACTATTGTTTACTCAAATTTCAACTTAACACCTTCAAACTACAAGCTTTAAAACCACTTCAGTCTAAATCTTTTTTATAAAATTGTAAAAATATTGTTTAATTATTATGAAATTGTGTAGGAGGACCGAAATAAAAATCTTGATGATGACGACTTCACATTATGTATTAGTCAACACTGTTTGAGATGGAAGGAGGAACTGTGTAAATCATGTATTAGTGTGGGAGTAATTTCATCAAACATCTAATAGGGAGGGTTTCATTCCAGAGCTTCCTTCTCACCCAGGGAAGGAAGTACCCCTTCCTGTGTGTGACAGACTACTATGCACTCAAGGAAAACATTACTACATGAATGTTGTCAATGGCTTATGTAAAAATGAATGTAATCGGGGCTCTCTGACAACAAAGCTTTATCATTATCAATATACATTTCCTTTATTGTTATGTACTCTGAGACTTGGACAGGGATGACAGAGGCAATGTCGGACACTTACGAGTGCTGGGCTGAGTCAGTGGAGGAGGGTCTCTCTTTGTCCAGTGGAATGCTCTCATCAAACACAATGGTCTCTGTGTTTGCCAGGCAAAACCCATTAGACCTCATGATCTCTGTAGAAATGTCAAGTGAACAGTCACAAATCAAACAGAAAACTCTGAAATACAACTCTCAAAGACTATTTATATTATTATATATAATATTTATTATATATTCATAATAACTGTAACAAATGTAATAATATGTATGCAATATGTAAAAAGTAAGTATAAGTAATATGTAAAAATAGAGACATTAGCCCCCTTCAAATTAGGCACCTTGGGAACTCACAGTTCTCCCAGCATCTCTTCCACTATTCAAAACAGTCTGCAAAATTCTTTGTTGTAATAGACATCATCTGCCTTGTCGTATTTTCCTAAATTTCATTGATGGTCTGAAATTTCTTCACATTCAAAGGTGATTTTGTGTGCATCTCAAAAAATTTGAATATTGTGAACATTTTTTTTTTTTTTGTAACTTATTTCAAAAAGTGAAACTTTCATATATTCTAGATTCATTACATTTAAAGTAAACCATTTAAAAAGTGTTTTGTTTGCTTCTTTGTTTGTTTTAATTTTGATGATTACGGCTTACAGATCATGAAAGTCAAAAATCCAGCATCTCAAAATATTAGAATATTTACATTTGAGTTTCATTAAATGACCATTCCTACAGTATAAATTCCGGGTATCTCT